CTGAGGCCACAGATACACAAAACAAATTTAAAATAATCTGATTCAGTTTTTGTTTAATTGTTGGTCAATGTTCCTTATATTGTAACTAGTGGCCCACTGCACAGATTTGTGCACATTGAAAGGAAATTAATTAGAAGAAAGATTCATGTGGTAATTATGTTACTGCAAAAAATTACATGTCAAAATAGTATATATAATATAGTATAAAATTAAAACACGTGTGATTGGCACCAGCAAAAGCTTTATATGTATCGCGCATGCGCAAGTCAACATTTATTTTTAAATTGCCAGTGTGTGTCACATGTACCGGCCGGTTGGTCAGTCGGTTGGTTGACATATGGATGTATGTACGGTTGGTCACTTAGCCTTTTATATATATAGATAAGCTCAGAAAAGTTAAAAATGAGAGGATTAAGATAGAGAGAATAGATGCAGAAGCTCCAATAAATGTTTAATTGTTTTTTTTTCTTTTGGGGGGAGGGAGAAAATAGAGCAAATTACAGAGAAGCAGTAAGTGAAGAGATAATTTCTGAAAGTTTTTCAAAATTTAAGAAAGATATGAGGCCTTGGATTGAAAGTATGTCCCAAGGGCCTAAAAGGATGAATACAAATAAATTTAGATATGGATATGTTGTAGTAAAAGTGCAAAAGACTAAGGAGAGAGACATCAAAAGTCAATGGAGTAATATCTTCATAATTTTGAACTGTCGACCTAGAATTCTATACCTAACTAGTCATTTGAAACTGAGAGTGAAATTTAGACATTATAAATATGTGAAGTCTAAGAAAGTTTACCACCCACAGATCCTTTCGTAAAGAACTACTGATGCAGGGTTCCTCAACCTATTAACCCTATTGATGTTTTGAGCCTGTACATTGTAGGATGTTTAGCAACATCCCAGGTTTCTACCAGTATGCCAGTAGCACCTCCCAGTTGTGACAACCAAACATGTGTCCAGACATCACCAAATGTCCCCGGAGGGGGCAAAACTGCCTCTGGTTGGGCACCACTGTATGAATGGATACTCTTCAGCAAGAAAACTAAACCCGGAGGAAGATTTGAGAAGGGAAAAAAAGTGAGGCAAATAAAAGATGTTGGCAATTAATAAAAAATGAACTTTTTCATTATATTTGCCTCTTTAAGAAGGTAAAATAAGTCATAGACAAGAATAATAAAGTGTGTGTGTGTGTGTGTGTGTGTGTGTGTGTGTTTAAGAACTGAGTAAAGTTATTGTCTTATTTGGAAGGAGAAAAAAGACAATACATAGCTTTAGATTTTGTTAGAAAAATATTGTTATCTGAATCAAAAATCTAAGGATAGAATAGTCATAAACAAGAAAAAATAAGTCCAAATATACTAAATAAGATAGCATTATACCATATATGTATCCGTAATTATAACACATTATAAAAGGATTAAACTATTTTAAGACTGAAAAAAATACAGAATGGGTTTAAAACAAAAACCAGCTACATCCTGTTTATTAGTAAATTTCCCTTCCAACCCAGTTCCCCTCAGTAAGTCACTGTTGCCAGTTTCTTACATATTCTTTCAGGGGTCTTGTATATTTGTGTGTGTGTGCGTGTGTGTGTGTGTGTGTGCATGCACGCACGCGCATGCTTACAAATATGTTTATGTACGTGATTTTTTAAATTTAAATTAACTTTTTATTTTATAAACAGTTTGATATTTACAGAAAAGTTATGAAGATACTACCGAGAGTTTTCCTATATTCCACACCAGTTTTTTTGCCTGTATTTCTGGGAAGCTTAGAAATAAATTTAAAGTTCAAGAACAGAAACCCTCTTACCTCAGTCCCTGAAGAATTGCCTTGTTTTCTTTCAAAGGTTTCTAATTTCTCTAACTTTAAACAATTATCTTGTTTTATAGGTAGCTTTAGCTCCTTTTTGGAAGTAATTTATGTTATAAATACTAAAATAAACATATTTTTGAAATACTATCATCCTGAACTCAAATGTATTCCATCTTTAAAAAAAATAACACAGCCCTGGTCGGATGGCTCAGCTGGTTGGAGCATTGTCCCGTATAACAAAAGGTGGTGGGTTTGATTCCTGGTCAGGGCACATACCTAGGTTGTGGATTCCCTCCCCATTCAGGGCGGGTACAGGAGGCAACCTATTGATGTGTTTCTCTCCCATGGATCTCTCTCTCTCTCCCTCTCTCTCTCTCTCTCCTCCTCCTCCTCCTCCTCCCTCCTTCCTTCCCCCTCCCTTCCTCCCCATTCTTCTCTCTCTAAAACCAATAAATATATCCTCAGGTGAGGATTTTAAAAATTAATAAAAATTAAAAAAATAACACAAACAATCCACAATCATTAAATTAAATTAAATTAAATTAAAAAGAGAATGTCTTCCATTCCCCACAAAACAAGTTTGAAAAGTATCGATGCTGCAGCTGCACATGACTCCCAAGTGGAAGAGTGATCTTCAACCATCAACATTCAATTTCTCAAGTGCATGATCCCAATCTTGATTTTTAAAATAATAATTGTAAGTATATTTTACATACTTATAGGTTTTTCATCCCCAAAATGACAGTGTTAAAATATATTTTTTAAAATAATATGGAAGTGGACATTCACTTTAAATAAAAAATGAAAAATAATTACACTGATGAATCATTAGACTTACGTTTTTCCATTCCACTCCACAATCTTTGAAAAGTTAAGGTAATTGTCTTCTCCAGTTAGAAAAACATAGTCTCCATCATTAGTCCCATTTTTCTGAAAATAAGTGAATATGATCATTTAAAGTAACGTGATGGTTAACTTTGTGTTAACTTGGATGGGCTATGGTGCTCAACTGTTTGGTTAAACACTAGTCTAGATGAACGGTTACAGGTTCAATTCCCCGTCAAGGGCATGTACCTCTCCCTTCCACTCTCTAAAAATCAGTGGGAAAATATCCTTAGGTGAGGATTAATAAATCTTTTTAAATATAGATATAGAAATAGATATGTATCTCCCTTTGATTCTCTTTCTCTGGAGAACCCTGACTGATACAGTAACTAACAAATTTAATCTTCATGAAACTGCCCTAGTTGAACCTAATTGCTACATGAGACTGAACCAGAACTAGAGAATAGAGTGAGGAACTACCGAACACAGAATTACTATACGACCCCCCAAATCCCACTCCTGTGTATATACCCAAGGTACATATTCAATGTTCATAAAAAACTTGTATACAAATGTTCATAGCAGCATAATTCACAATAGCCAAAAAGTAAAAATAACCCAAATATCCATTAACTGCTGAATGGATAAACAAAGTGTGGTATATCCATACAATAGAGTATTACTTGGCCATAAAAATGAATGAAGTGCTAATACATGTTACAACATGGATGGACCTTGTAAACTTTATCTACACTAATAAAAGACAAACATGCAAATTGACCATACCTTTGCTATGCCTTAAGCCAAGCCCACCAGCCAATCAGACCGACTATATGCAAATTAACCCAACCAAGATGACGGCCAGCAGCCACAGAGCTGGAGCAAGCAGGAGGCTTGGTTGCCCAGTGATGGAGGAAGCCAAGCTTCCCGCCTGCTGCAGCCAGCTCTGAGCTCCACTCAAGGCAACAAAGTTTCAATTATAGAAGGTAAATAAACCCCAGATCCCTGTTTTCAGCAGGCCATGGCCACAGAGCTGGAGCGAGCAGGAAGCCAAGCTTCCCGCTACAAAGTTTCAATTATAGAAGGAAAATAAATCTCAGAATAAAAAAAGAAAAAAGCAAAAAAAGAGAGGCTGGGAGCTTCTGTTCCCGGGGAGCTTGGCCAGCCTGAAAACGGCCCTCAGACCCTCACCCAGACTGGCCAGGCACACCAGTGGGGACCCCCACAGTGAAGGGGGTGTGACCAGCTGCAAACAGCCATCAGCCTGTCTTCCAGGCTGGCCAGGCACCCAAGTGGGACCCCCACCGCTAAGGATGTCTGACTGCAGCTTATGCCTGCTCCCTGCTGGTAAGTGGACATCCCTCAAGGGCTGCCGGGCTGCCAGAGGGATGTCTGACTACTAGCTTGGGCCTGATCCCCCAGGGAGCGGGCCTAAGCCAGCAGGTGGACATCCTCCGAGGGGTCCCAGACTGCAAGAGGGCATAGGCCAGGCTGAGGGACCCCCCCCCCAAGTGCACAAATTTTTGTGTACCGGGCCTCTAGTACTAAATAAAAGAAGCCAGAGCAAAGATCCTATATTGTATGACTCCATTTATATGGATGTCCAACCTGCATAGGAATGTCTAACTGCCAGAGATGGTTCCAACTCAGAAGTGGTGCCCCTTGGCCTCCATTTGTATAGTGCACATGAGTGTCAAGATTTTAATTTTATTTTTTGCCTAATAAAGCCACACTGCAGTCCCAAATCCCCTTCCTCTCTGGCTCTGAGGAAGCTCCCACATGGAGAACCTACTCTCCTCTCCTCTCCTCCCCTCCCCTCCCCTCCCCTCCAGCCTCCTCTCCCCTCTCTCCTCTCTTCTCCTCTCCTCTGTGGCCCAGGCCAGCCTTCCCTCACTCAGGACCAGGCGATCCAGCACCTCACAGGGGCAGGAGGCAGGCTGGGCAGGGAGGGGGCTTATGTTTTGTTTCAAAAACAAACCCCACAAAACCTTATTTTTCTTTACAAAACCAAAAAAGGAAACAAGAAACGATGCCAACCATTCAACGTCTAAAAAAAAAAAACTACAGATTCGTAGGCAAATCCAGAAAGACAGAAAGTGGTGCTAGGGGCTAGTAGGAGGGGAAGTGGAAGTGACTGCCAATGGGAATGTGGTTTTTGTGGAGAGGATGATAAAAATGTTCTAGAATTAGAAAGTGGTGATGATGGCAAAATCTTGTGAATATACTAATAACCACTAAATTGTACACTTTAAGTGGTAGAAGTATTCTAGGCGCTTGAGCTGGATCAGTGAACAAAACACAGAAGTCGCTGCCCTCATGGTGCACATCTCCTAAAATTATTATTATGATTGTTTCGTTCTTTTAAATTTTTACTATTAAATGCTTATTATGTGGCAGGCACTTTAATGTATACCAAGAATAATAAAATAACCAGACTATTCTATTTCCATTGCCCTAAGCTATGTTTCAAGTTTTGTCGTAGATATATTTTTAGGGTCTTAACACAGACGGTTTTGGGGTTAATAAATTGAGGCCTAGTACTTGTGTCCTGCTTTCTTTTTAAAATGGGGTTTTGTTCTGATTATAAACATAATAGACTATTTTGGTTATAAAAGTAATAATTCTTATTAGGAAATACAGAATGATGTATAAAAATATACCAATTATTCATCATCCTCTCAACTAAAAGGAACCACAATTAGTATTTGGCCTGTTTTCAGTCTTTTTTCTACACAAGATATGTTTATAGAACTAAGATATATTTATATGTAATATGTACATTTATATTTACACAATTTCATACATATCTACAATTGTACATATACACATGCATATTTTTTACTTAAGCATAAAACTTATTTCCCATGTTATCAAAATTCTTTATAGATATAATTTAATGACTCCATGACATTTTGTGAAAATAATTTACTTAACCACTCTCCTAGTATTGGATGTTTAGTTTTGAGGTTTTTTGCTACTATAAATAATGTTGTATGAATATATTTATGCCTAACAAAATTTTCAGTACTTTAGTTTTCTAAACAGACCGCTAAAAGTGAAATTACTAGATACAAGAACAGGAACATTTTTAAGCCTTTTGATACATATTATCAAGTTGCTCAAGGTCACCCAGCTGGAAAGTGGTGGAAGTAGCAGCATAAATCAGTTTAGTTCCCCAAATGGCTTTTGTTAAAC